ACGGATGGATGGTTGCCTCGAGCATGCGTGGTCTGTTTTAATGCGAGATGCCCTCATGAAAATTTTGCGTGCGAGAGCGCGTCGTCGTGGCGTTTGGAGATCTTTTTTTTTTTTTTTTCGCGCGGGTACTCGAGTTTGTTGAACAGGCAAAACGAATCCAAAGGTCTTGAATGGGAGCACAAACATAGCGGGTTGGTGCTTCGATAGCAAAGCGCATTGACCATTTCGCATTCACACGGCCGAAATGCATCGTCGATTTTCATTGGCGAAAAGAGGAAGGTCATCATTAAAGTACGAGGGGGAAAGGGGGCCGCCGGGTGGGGGGCTGAGGTGTCACATGCATCGCATGTATTGCAGCATTTTCACATTCTTCCCAACTCTCTCAAAATGTCCCTCTCCCTCTCCGCATTGGCGCAAGGTCTGAAACCCTGCAGCTGCATCGTAAAAGTCCCACTGCCGGCCGTAAGAGCTCTCAATCTGGAGCTATAACTGACGAGGTTGGAGAGGGGCGCAAGGGCATGTACCGTCGTCGTGGTCGAGGTTGATGAAGAAGAAGAGGAAGCAGCGATGCTCTGGGAAGAGCTCGCGTTGGAACTTGAAGAGAGGTGAGCAGCAACACCTTCCGTTCCATCTTGATCTTCTGGCGGGAGGTAAATACCTGCTGCGCTTTCTTGATCCTCCACAGCTCCATCGCCATGCAGAGCTGCATCCTCATGATCCACGCCAACCACGCTAGCTCCTTGTTGCGTCGTCAGATCCGCCACGACTCTTCCCAAACTGTTTTCGGGACACGTGACTTGCAGGTGCATCATCGGTTCCATCATCATCATCCCTCCTGCTCCTGGTCCTGCTCCTGCTCCTGCTCCTGCTGCCATTGTTCTCTCATCAGGAGAAGTCGAGCTTTCTTTCAGGGCGCGCAAAAGAGCAGCACGAGCTACGATGGATAGAGCTCTAGCCGGCGTGAATTCTGCTCCGAAAGTTTGAGGATTTCGCAAAGTTATGCGCAAACCTTCTATCGGATTGGAAGTCAACGGACCGCGAGAGAGCGCAGCGGTTATGCCAGCTCGCAACGCTTGGCGCATAGTTTGAGGAGTGAGCGTATCGGGATGAATGGGCGATGATGCGGATGCGCTGCCGCTGTTGCTGCCTGAACCCGCAGCACCTGCAGACTGCTCCTCCTCCACGAATTGTTTGCCTCCTCCTTTCTCATGTCTGGCAATGCTCTCCGCCTTTTCCGCAGCCGATCTAGACTCGTTTCCAAATTCCGCATCTCCAAGTCGAATCTCGAGCCTATTGCCACCCCCCAGCCTTTCCAGCTCATCCGTCTCTTCTTCTCCTTCCTCCTCCTCCTCCTCCTCTTGCCTGAGCCTTCTCACATCCAGCGTGATGGCCGCCTTGAGCCTTTTCCCCAGCACATCCTTGTCCAGCGTCTCGCTGACCGTGCAGATTTTCGACTCGTCTCTCAAAGTCTCCCTATACGACACCCTGACGCTTCCCATCCTCGCATTCGCCCCAAACTCTTCCGTCAAGCGTCCTTTGGCAATCTCCAAGTGAAGCTCTCCCATTCCCGAAAGCACCGTCTGTCCCGTTCCTGCCGATCCCAGACTCGTCATTTCTGCTGACGATGAGGACGAGTCGAAAGTTGATGCGGACGAACCTTGTCTTTGCTTCTGCCGCTGTTGTCCCTGATCCAGTCGCAGGCTGGGATCCGTGCGAACTAGCATGGACAAGGCTTCGTGCACCCCTTCCTCGTCCGATTTGGAGCGAGCTTCGACAGACATGCTAAAGACGGGCGGTGGAACATGCACCTTTCTAAGTCGAAGTCTCTTGGCATGTCTAGCCCAAGGCGTTTGCATCGTCGAAGCTCCTGCTTTCCCTTTCGCCTTTGGAAACGACGTATTGACGGTTTTGAGATCGACCAGCGTATCTCCAGTCCTAGTGTCCTTCAATCCGAAAAGCACGCCAATCTGTCCCGCTCCCAAGGACAAAGTCTCGTCGTACCGATCCGCAAAGGCGTGCATCATCTTGCTTATCCTCTCCTTTTCTCCGCTACTCGTGTTGAACAGCGTAGTGCTTCGACTCATGGTGCCCGAATAGATGCGCACAAAAGTCAATGGACCTCTACGCTTATCGTGCACCACTTTGAAAGCGAGCAGCGAGAGCTCCGAATCGTTTATGCTCACGGCTACGCGGTTGTCTGCGTCCAGAGTTGCGCCTGTCAAAGCATCGGCGGCAGCAGGGACAGGAGGTGCTCCTTGAACAGCGCCACCGCCACCTCCACCTCTAGTCTGACCCGATGGAATTGTCGACATAATTGCCCTTCTCGTCGTTCTGCCGCCCTTGCCGCTATCCGCTTCCGGCGAAAGTTCGGCCCAAACGGCACCGCTCTCCTCTTTGATGCCCCTCTGCCTCGAAGCGTCCGGATCGCCAGCCTGATCCGGACTAGGAAAGAGCTGCACTACATAGTCGAGGACGTTTTGTGCTCCAATGCCTTTCATCGCGCTACCGAGCAGGACAGGCAATGCTGCTCCTCGCTGAACGAGCCGACGCAGAGCCTTTAACAAACTTTGCGCCGACACGTTCTCGTGAGCAGAACCTGTGCTTGCGCCTTGAGATGAAGCATCCAGATCCAACAATTCTTCCAGCAGCTCATCGTCCAGAGAAGCTGCGCTCTCCACCAGGGCATGTCTAGCCCTCTTGCACTCTCGCGCCAATTCCTCCTGCACGAGTCCCTCTGCCATGGCCTCTTGCAGCTCCAAGCTTCTCATTATCTCCCCCGCTTCGCCTGTATAAGTGTGAGCGCGCAGATGAAGCACGTCGATGAGACCTGCCAGGGTTGTGCTTTCGGCCGAGGAGGATTTGATAGCTGGGATGGGTAGTTGGAGCAAAAAAGGTTGGGGATGAAGCGTGCGGACGATGGAGCGCAGACAACGAGAGACGGATGCGCCAGCTCGGTCCAGCTTGTTGATGAAGACCATGTGAGACCGCAGTCCATACCTGCCGTGCAAGGGTGGGACGTGGCCATAATGCATCGCGTGGACGCGCGCGCACACACATGGAAGGAGTGGGGGAGAAAGTGAGCCAAACGTTTGCTTCCACTTTCCCCCCTCCGCATACAAGCCACAAACCATCGCACACAAAAAGGACTCACCGAGCAGAAATGTTCCAATTGTTCCTCGTTTGAGATTCCACGCCCGCCACGCCATCCAGCACGACGACGCAAGCGTCTACGACTCTAAGTGCTCTCTCCACCTCGATGGTAAAGTCCACATGTCCAGGCGTATCCACCAGGGTGACATTAGCTCTGCTCGGCACCGATGAAGATGGCGACGCAGTTGCAGGCCTTCCCTGCTGATCTTTCGCACTTTGATCTCGATGCTGGACAGTCATTGCTGCAGGGGTAATGTTCCATTTGAAAGGACCAACAGCGGCGCTTTGGATCGTGATACCTCTTCGGCGCTCTTCCTCCAGAAAATCAGTCACCGTATTCCCGCTATCCACATCTCCAGGTGCGGAACCTAGCATCACGACATTCTCCTTCTCCTCTTCGTCCATCTCCTCTTCTCCTTTACCAGCAGCAGCGCCACTTGTTCTTGCTGCAGCTGGAGCAGGAGCATGAAGAGCGCCGGATAGGTAGAGCAATTTTTCAGTCAGGGATGTCTTGCCGGCGTCTATGTGACCCCAAATGGAAATGTTGCGATACGTCGAGATGGCCTTGTTGGGTGTGGGTGTGGGTGTGGGTGTGGGTGTGGGTGTGGATGAGGCTGTGCTCGAGCTAGCGCGAGCATGAGCACTGCTAGAGAAGGATCGGCTACAGGGCCCTGCTACCGTACCTCTGCCTCTAGCTGTGCCTATCCCTGTGCCTGCGCTGGCGTAGGCACTGAGACGACAAAGCTCGCACCTCGCTGCTGCAGAGTAAGGGTGAGATGGCCCAAGCGCTAGAGAAGAGAGTGGGCGTACCTTCCAGCTAGCACTGCTGCTGCTGCTGCTGCTGCTGCTGCTGCTGCTCACAGAGATCCTGCTCAACCTGCAGCATCTTCCCGTACATGCGACACCTATCCGACCGCTTATCGTCATCGTCATCGTCATCGTCATCGTCAGGCAGCGTGGGTGTTGGCCACGTAATGGGCCCTCTTTTGTGAATGCAGCGTGGACGTCCCAGTGGAGTGCATCGAACTGGCACGGTCTCGGGCGCACAACAGCAGCAGAAGCAGCAATTTTAAAATGGCGAATGTGAAGTGTATGAAATGTGTAAAGTGTGTGAAATGTGAAATGTGGAATGCGGGAATGTGAATGTATGCATCGTTCATCGCCAACTTGGCAACTTTTTTGAAATCCAATACTCTTGACTACGAACGTACATGCGCGGGGAGAGAAATCACGTGATCCAAACTTCACGGTTCCTTGTTGTTGTTGTTCTTGATTCACTAGGTCTTTAAAAGTAGAATCTAGTAGTGTACGTACTATCATTATTTCGCTAGTGATTCTTGACTCACAGGGCTCGATGACCAATGCATCGGTTGACGATGCTCGGTCGGGGCGTAGAAGCACGGCATGCAGGCGCAGAACATCGCAGACGGTGCTTCGTGGTATTGTCCCTCGGGGGCGCGGGAAACCATCGTGATTGCATCCTTGCTTGCAACGAGGGGCAGGTGATGTGTGTGTGATGGCACAGACGTACGCATGATCGGGAAGGAGTAGACTTCATGGATCCACTCCTCGCTTCGCACTGCAAGTCGCTCAAGCCGGGGACCCCCACATGACATGCCCTCTCAACCCGATGCGACGTGTCCACTCGCCCCTCGCCGCTTGCCCCCCTCCACAATCCACATCAAGCCTTACCCTCCGCTGCCAGCCTCACGCTAATCTTTTTCCTCTCCCCTTCCAGCACTTTGCAGACCTGTTTCCAGCTCCTAGCTTTACCCGCCGCACCCTGCGGCAACTGCGTTTGTTGCTTGGCGCTTGGCGTTTCTCCCTCTGCCAAGAGCGACAAGAGATCCGTAGGGATGCCTGGCACGCTGACCGAACTGGGCACGTAGGGTGCGGACTGGTCCCAAAAAAAAAAAAAAAAAAAAAAAAAAAAAA